CACGTCCCATTGCCAGTTGTTTTACTCCCTGGCCGAGGGGACCCTTGGCACGGACGCACTGGCGTGCAGCTTGCCTCGGGGCCTACGCAAATATGCGTTTCCCCCAGTGAGCCTTCTCGCACAGACACTGTGCAAGGTCAGGGAGGACGAGGAGCAGGTCCTCTTGGTAGCGCCATACTGGCCCAGTCGGACTTGGTTCCCCGAACTGATGCTCCTCGCGACAGCCCCTCCTTGGCAAATTCCTCTGAGGAGGGATCTCCTTTCTCAGAGAGGGGGCACCCTCTGGCACCCGCGTCCAGACTTGTGGAATCTCCACTTGTGGTCCCTGGACGGGACGCGGAGGTTCTAGGTGGGCTACCTCCAGCGGTAGTAAACACCATCACTTCACCTAGAGCCCCGTCTACCAGAAACGCTTACAGGCTGAAGTGGAACCTGTTCGTCGATTGGCGCTCTTCCCGCCGGGAAGACCCCCGTAGATGCCCGATCGGAGTCGTGCTTTCTTTCCTGCAGGATGGGTTGGAGCGAAGGCTGTCTCCCTCCACCCTTAAGGTGTATGTTGCCGCCATTGCCGCGTCTCCCTCCACCCTTAAAGTGTATGTTGCCGCCATTGCCGTGCATCACGATGCAGTAGATGGTAAGTCTTTGGGGAAGCACGACTTGGTCATCAGGTTTCTCAGAGGGGCAAGGAGGTTAAATCCTCCGCGCCCTCACCTGTTACCCTCTTGGGATCTCCCCTCGGTCCTAACGGCCTTGAAGGAGGAGCCCTTCGAGCCTCTGCAGTCAGTAGAGCTTAAGTTTCTGTCATTGAAGACAGTGCTCCTCACCGCTTTGGCCTCGGTCAAGAGGGTAGGGGACCTGCAGGCATTTTCGGTCAACGATTTGTGCCTAGAATTCGGAACGGGTAACTCTCATGCTGTCCTGAGACCCCGGCCTGGATATGTGCCCAAAGTTCCCACCACGCCTTTTAGGGATCAGGTGGTGAACTTGCAAGCGCTGCCCCGGGAGGAGGCAGACCCAGCCATCGCTCTGCTCTGTCCCGTTCGCGCTCTGCGCATCTACGTGGACCGTACGCAGAGCTTTAGGACCTCAGACCAGCTCTTTGTCTGCTTCAGAGGACAGCAGAAGGGAAAGGCTGTCTCCAAACAAAGACTGGCCCACTGGTTAGTGGAGGCTATAGTCTTAGCATACCAGACCCAACGTTTGGAGTGAGAGCACACTCTATGAGAGGTGTGGCATCTTCTTGGGCATTGGCACC